TGAGGTCGCCATGGGAATACCCACTGTTGCACAGGCAATAACTCGCCGCGGCAACCGCGACTGGTCGTGTGTTGGGCGCGGTGCTTTAATGTCGGCCTTGCCAGTTTTTGAACGACGACCGGGTACTCGTGTGACAAGATCAGCGTGCTGCTCAGAAGAAAAGCTGTTGGTTTATAAATGATGCTGTTAACAAACGCAACGACAACAGTAGAACAAACGATCATGCGACTTGTGTTTGTATTCTGTGTGCAGTAGATCAAGGTGCTTAACATGAAGATGAGATGAAGGTACATGGACATGTCATGGGACAGGAGGGCGCGAGAAGGCTTTTGTATTCGGAGCCTTTTAAAGATAAACACGGCACTGAATTTCTTCAAGACGTCGGCATTAAACCTGCGGCGATGTACGGAAAGCTGCACCATCTTTATGAGGGCGTTCTCGGGGGCACCACCAGGGGCACGTCAGTCTTATGATCCAGGTGTACGCCGACATGAGCGAGTGACATGGGTGCCTCTGCATGACGCTCATGTCAGGTGATAGTGGACAAAACATGCGAAAAGGGGGAAGTTGGGCTCAACAACTGCGAGGAAGGGACCAGTAGAAGCCTGGAATGCGCTCCACCTATTCGTGTCATCTACAAGGAACCAGTAGATGGCATGAATGACTTCGTCTACGAATGTCACCTTTTGTCACTCGGTGATGTTCGGCTTCCACTCGAGTCTCTGCCATGCCTCCTTGACATCTGAAGAAAATGGCTAATCGATAAGGCCATGACCTTGTACGCTAGCCAAGGTGAACACTCCGCATATAAAACGGCTTATCAGGTAAGGACGATACGCCACGAACCGATAAATCCAAGGCAGTGATAGAAAGCGATCGAATCACAGCGCGTGTAAGGCATTTTCGCCCCGCTTCAGATGACACTGTGAGCTTTTGATTTTTGTGGGAACAGGTTGTATACATATGACAATAGTGTGACATAGCAGACTGCTCTTGCAAAAGTTTGCGTAAGTTACAAAGAAGTGACAGCGTAGTTTTCTGGGTAAAAACGAGAAAAGCCTGACCTGGATTTATAGATATGGATAGATGCGAATGGTACCGTGAGATACTCCTATGTGATGCAATTACTATATTGTTCAAACATTTCCTTATTGTAGCTATGTAAGCGATGATGCGGTTTGCCATGGATCTAAGCCTACATTAAATCGGAGAACAAAAAAAAGCACTTTTCAAATTTTAACTAGGGGTCGTGCTAAGCTGCTGTCTTTTGCTCTGTCGTGGCCTTCTGTCGGCATGGTGCTGTCGTTATGCTGTCGTTTTTCTCGAAAGATACAGTTATAATGCCTTTATGTTATTTCCTCCAACACCGTAGTGACTGTGCGTTCTTCCCAACTCCGCATTTTGTTGTAGTGCTTGCGTGTTGCTGACAGCTTAAATCGAGGCTATCCCACCGTGCTGTAGACATGCAGTCCCCGGCGCAGAGCACGTCACGCATGTTCCATGCCGGCTGGCGTAATGAATACTATCCTAGTCAGGGGCGTGAAACGGGATCAGACCCGTCCATTTGCATGCCCTCAGACACTCCTGACGGCGGTACACATGAGCTGACTCGTGGACCCATCATCAGCACCCGGCGGGGTCCTGCGTGCCCTGTGACCACGCCTGGTGTCCGCGCGGGCGGGAGGAGGGGGGGGGGGGGGGGGGGGCAGATGGACGATGCACCGAACGCGCACTCTGATCGGTGTCGTTCGTCCTGACCTGCGACAAGCCCAGATAAAAGCGGCGCCGGTGGCAGAGGCGCGTCCAGGACTCCAAGCGGGGGTGGCGGACGGGTCGAGCGCTTTAATTCGCCGCTAGGTGAGGTGCCGTCATCCTTGGTCAGAGCGGGCAAACAGCGCGCGAAAATAAGTGACCAACACAGATGGGTACTTTCAGACATCCTACCAAAATGAACAGATTGGATAGAAACAAAAACAAAATAAACAGAGGCCGCCGCAAGTGGATCAGAGGCCTAGTTCTTCGTTTGTATCTGCCCCTTCGTAGCCAGTGGCCTGATTTTGGTATGCCATTCAGTTGGGTCCACGTGGGTCCACGTGGCCACCACGTGGATCCGCAACGTTAGACAACGACATCAGAAGTCCGTACTTAAGAATTATCTACTTAACTTACGGCAAACATTTTACCAATCATCAACAGCCTGGCAAGTTGAAATTGGGAAATGGCGCAGGCTTCGCAACGAGCTAGCTGGACGAACGAAGGCTGTAGCCCAGCTAGAGCTACAGCTTATTGGTTAGAAAATTAACACTGGTTAAATGAGCATGTAGATCACACAGTGCACTTAACAGCACATTCGCAGCGCAGTGTTTTCACTGTGCACTTTATGATCAGATTGTTTTTATAAGGAGTTTGATGGGACCTTGCAACGGCCTTTTTGATCAGTGTGTCATTAAAATGACTGCTGTAAAATTTACTGCATTAGACCGGCCCGGGCGCATGCAATAAACTGCAACATTTTCAGCGATGAAAGGCAGCCACACCGCACCGCATCGCGTTGCAATGCTTTTAATCAAGGGTCAGGGCTTCGCAAAGCACGGCAACCGCAAAAACATTATGCGTTAGGATCACAGCATTTCAGCGCTAGGATAACCTTAAAACGCAGCTGTTGTAATCTTCGGGCCCAAGTCCTCGCCCGGCAGGCCTCGCCAGTTACACGCTGGACGCTGATACCTCCAGTCAGACGGTTTGAGACATTCGGAATATTTTGTCACGTCGTATGCTTTAGATATGGAATAGTTTTGCATGTCGCGTGCTCTGCACAGACTTGAAGCTGGCGCTCGTGAAGGATTTCCCTGCTCATCGGGAAGGCCTGCCTCGTTAGGCGGAAATGAAACCCGCGTGCTGATACCGTGCCTGGAACACTTGCCGCGTTTGGCCTCAGCCTCGAACCCACGATGCTGGACGAGACCAACGTGCTTGAACAGCCGTTATCTGCGGCTCGCTGAGCTGCGAGCCGCGGACTGCACGCTGGACTTCTTCACCGCTTGGCGTTCGCGATCTGATGTTGTCGGAAGCATGGCCGGCTATCCCTTCACCCGGGGCAGCGGTCAGTATCGCTCGCGTGGTACGGTATCGACCCCAATGCCGGCGGTGCACAGCGCACCGGAAACACCTTCCATATGCCTCCGGTGCTCAAGTGTATCCCCATGCGTACCAGCGAGCCCAATGCCCTCAGTAATAGGCCGCCGTTGTTTTTGGCTGCTTCGATCGTGCCTGTTGCCGCTTTTGGCTGGGGCGTGACGAGGGTCTTGACCGGCCCCCTGCGCCGCCCAAAGCAGTAGCCAGCACGGCTGGCATAACGTCGGAGTTGTTTTATTAGATTGATATGCCATGCGTATGTACATTCAAACGGACCCATAGTTTAGCATGTCATGGCCGGTTTGATCACGAGTTAGTAATCTTGCGGTCGTTGTGGTCGTTGTAGCATAGGCAGTAAGTAACACATCTATCACAGTACCATGAGCACCGTATGACCATCACAAGAACCCCACAACCTATCATATCGTACTATATCATCGCACATTATAGTATGATAAACATGCTATGTGCGAACATACTAACATACATGCTAATTATGCTAGGTTGTCGATGCAAGCGTGTTTGTGCATAAGCGAGTTTTCTTCCGCTTACCTGGACCTGTGATTCGTCCTGTATCATGCAAACATCCTCTCGGTTAGATACACACCTTCTGATCAAGGAGACACATAGGCAACCCACCACCAGGTGCCTAAAACCTCCTCCAGTGTTCACAAATTATCCTATCGTAACTTCGATCTCGCAAATTGAACAAGTCATTCAAACTGAACCCTGCTAAGCTGGGTGGTGTGACTTAAGCCTTGTGCCTACACGCATGTTACTTCAAAAACCAAGACTGGCACGGCTGCGAAGACAATCGCGTTGAGTAACATATGCCAGTGTTATGCCGACCAGGTGGTGCGACTTTTAATAAATGCAACCAGACCATAACAGAAAAATATCCTGTATGCTTTCCGTGTAGAGGATTAGACATGGCTTGACCTCCGATGAGCAATGTATGTTTATAATCGCGTTACAATTTACCGCAATAAGATAAAGCAAATAAACGTAGGACGGTCGCTTCCAATTTATCTGCGACAAAAGTAGGTTAGCTCGTTACCGGATAAGTAAACACAACATGAAATCGACAACGACCAGACAAAATGGTCAACACTCATAATCTGTGACAGACGGGGTTTTTCATTTATATGGGGTCTGTAGAGGCATCGAAAACTTAGCTACCAAGCGTCATATCTTTAGCGATTGTGAAGTTTTATTTCGGAATAAACCTCAGTGTGGCTCTTCTAGCGCACTCATCCTGCGGGAAATGATGCATGGCAATACATGAAATAACAACAATCTGCTCTCGTTTACTCTCCATGTAGCAAGTGTGTATTACATGATTCGGAAATACATCCAGAACGTCAAATACCAAACTACATCTACAGCACTGCTAATACCATTCCTGCAGGTCCTCTCGCAGCACTCCACGTCAGCACGCAATCTACGCTCGCGCAAAAACGCACCGCACACGAGGGTTCCGGTGCAGTCACCGGTCAGACACACCTCTTCCTCAGTGCAGCGCGCATGCCGACGCTTCCGCGCACCGCAACAGCCCTGGCCGGTGGCGACAGCACGCCTCCTCCACCACCGCCCTCAAACCGGCTCGTTGGCCCACTTGAGGAAGGCGTCGCCCTCCTCCTCGGTGATGAAGTAGTTCCTCCAGTCGCCCACCTGCCCCTTGCGCATGAAGGTGCCCTCCTGGCCGGCGGTGACCAGGCCCTTCTTCTCCCAGTGGCGGAAATTGGTGCCGGGGTTCTCCTTCATGGCGCCGAAGCTGGTGTGACTCACCGATGCTCCTCCACCTGGTCGTCGGTCACGGGCCGCCCGAGGAAGGTGGCCACTCGACGGACGACGGCTGCGCAGGGTCAGCGGTGCAGCTGCTCGACGTCCACGCAGAGCACGGTGTCGGCGTGACGCATGTAGCCCTGCACGTGCTCGCGGTAGGGCGCGTGCATCACCTCGCCCCGCACGAAGCGGTCGCGGAGCTCCGGGAAGGTGCCGCGGTACTTCTCGTAGTTGACCATGCGGGTGCCAGTGGTAGTAGGAAACGCAGACGTCGCGCGGGTCGCGGTCGATGTAGATCACCTTGGCGCCGGCGCGCACGCTCTCCGGCAGCAGGTCGTACGGCAGGTGCGTCTTGATGAGGGCGCGGGTCGTCCATCTCGTGGACGGAGCGCATCTCCATGTTCACCGCCGACGGCATGTCCAGGAGGGGGAAGCGATACTCAAGCGGCGTGTCGGCTTTGCCCCCGGCGCCCTGTCTCGCCGTGCACGATCCGCCAGACCACCTCCTGCAGCCAGGTGGTGCCCGACTTGGGGAAGCTGGCCACGAAGATGTCCGTGGGACGCGCCTGGAAGCGCGCCCAGTGCTCGACGCAGCCGTTGACCAGGTGGTAGTTGGTGAGCACGGTGCCACGGTGGCGGAAGTGGCGCACCAGGGGGTTCTTGTAGTTGGGGTCGGCCGGCAGGATCTTCCAGTCATCCGGTACCTTCATCTGGGCCAGCTTGGCCGCCATCGCCTTGGCATGCTGCTCCCGTCGAGCTGTCTCCTCGTCTGTCGTGCTCACGGTCGCCATGGCAACACTTGCTGTTGTCTGCGTTGTTGCGGCCGCTGGTCGAAACAATAAAAACCAGGTGCCTTCCAAAGCCGAACTTCTTACTTGCCAAAGACCACGGGCTATCTCACCGGACCGTCTTGCTACCGACAGACGAATGTACCGCCCGACGAAACTCGTGACTTACTGACAAGAGCGAGAGCGAGATTAGGTTTCCCTCAGCTCCCACTGATAGCAGCGGCGCGCGCCATCCCACTGGTCGAGCTTGAGGACTACAACACCGAGGCCTGGTCGGAAACTCACACTGCTATGGCCAACTGCAAAAACCTACACTCCAGCATTATTATAGCTAAAAAGTGTAAGTATGCGTCAATGAACAGGCGCATATGTAATTATCTCTCATTTTCACGGCTTAGTGCAACGCGGGTACCATGGCCTAAAGCACAATAATCACTTGATTTCGGTGCTACCCGAGCGAAAAACCTGTTGAGTGTGCTCAATCCGCAGACAATCTCATCATCAGCATGCCAAATGCGAGATTGTGGTGTTGAACTTTGAATCTCCGAGAAACTTCCTGAAATAGACGGATTTCTGCAACCAGGTATTCTTAGGTCCTTCTCCGGGTCAGCCAACACTTGGCGACGGTCGGTGCAATAAATGGCCTGCACGGTGTGTTGGTTAACAGTAAGACTATTAGGATAGCGGAGCAAAAAGTTGATCTGGATCAAGTGTAATACATCATAAATTATGTTGAATTAAGACCCACTGGATCCCGGCGGGATCAAGACCGGCTGGATCGCCAGCCGGATCAAGGCCGGCTGAAGCACCGGCCCGATCAACACCGGCTGTGTCACCGGCGCCGGCACGGACCACCGACTGAGAGCGGCTCGTCCAACAGTCCTCTGCCTGCTGGTGTGCACGGCCGCGCTGGCAGCGAGCGGGCGGTGCGGCACCGCAGCGGTACCCTAGCTACATATTTAAAGGCAAGTCTAATGCATCGTTTTTTCCTGTTCCTTAAAGTGAAGGTGCTTATGAAGGGAGCGAAAGGAGCCGTTTCCAGCGGCCCTTCATTCATCGGTGCCGTCGCCTTGCGGGCTGGCGTTGTGGTTGCGCTGTGGGTCACCGTGGGACCCATCTCGTCTGGCGTACGGTAACGCCTGAGCTCAGTTGGGCGCGGCTGGCTGGGGCAGAAATGACGTGGCCACGCGGTCGCTGGAATGGTGCGCCGGAAAGAGCGATTCGCATCTCCCGACGCTTTGCCCGTTCTTAGCTTTGAGCAGTGCTCTGGAGTTAGGGAATACGAGGAACTGCACGGGCCTCGTTGCTTTCAAGCTACGTGCAGTTTCTTCATACGTGAATGGAGCCAGTTGCGTACATGCAGGAAAATTTAGGCTCTACTCTCAGAACTGAGGAATGGACTTCACTCCTCTATTTGTACTCTCCACCCATGGAGATCAAACCACCCCTGTTGGATTGATGATTCGTGTCTTATGGCAAAGTCTTCTCTGAGTCAATATGACAACGTGGCTGAAAAACGGCAACTCACCTGGCCAAATGTCAAACGCCATTTGCCATGTTTTCTTTCTTGCCCCATTCTTGGCTGCGTCCCAAAATTTCCTTGAACATTTTGTCGCATAATGTCCGCAATTTGCATCATCGTTGCCGGTTAGATCGTTGACATTGGCTCTGTCAGGAGATATTGAAAAAACTTTCATGTGTAAAGCTGGCTAATTGGTAAGTTGAACTGCTGAAACTTATCATTTTTGGCGCGCGTCAGGGATCGAAAGATATAAAGCGCATTGCAAGTGTGTTGATTTGACACTGACGCAGAAAACACGAGACCAATCGCTCAGAGCAATAACTCGAGTTGGTTACTGCCAGCCCGGCCAAACACTGTCGGAATGCTCGCCATTCCGCTACAAGTTACAAGATCATATAATGTTTAAAGGTTAAACAAAACCGGAATGTACGCATGTTACAGGTAATGGACAATTTGCAAAATTCACCAAATATGTTCATGCGTAAAACAAATATTACAGCTTTTATTAATGATTCTAGAGTTCGTTTAGATTTTGAACTCGACAGACATTGTCTAGCGCAGTGACCTGCTTGAAGCTTCAAAATTTTCCCAAGTACGAAAGGATGAAATAAAAGGGACTCGAAATTTCGTGCCGACGTTTCCACCGTTTTTTTCTTAAACCCGGGAAACATTAACGGTGAATATCATCCTTTCCCCGACCGAGCCGACGTGCACACCGTTTCATTGAAATCAAAATTTCATCACACACAATCTGTTGAAAAGACGTTTTCTCCAAGACGTAATGGGACTACTTGCCTCAAAGATAGTATAACAACAAACCTAACCAAAACTGTCCCTCAAATTGTTATCGAAAGTCATCATTCTTAGAGTCAGGGGCGGATCCAGGATTTCGTCAAGGTGGGTACACGCAAAATTATTGGGCCCCCAACAGAGCGGGGCCGCCTTAATATATGCTTGCACTCCGGTCATTACATTTAGAGACCAACGGAATGTAGCATATATATATATATGTATATATATATATATATATATATATATATATATATATATATATATATGTGTGTGTGTGTGTGTGTGGTGTGGTGTGTGTGTGGTGTGTGTGTGTGTGTGTGTGTGTGTGTGTGTGGGTGTGTGTGTGTGTGGTGTGTGTGTGTGTGTGTGTGTGTGTGTGGTGTGTGTGTGTGTGTTGTGTGTGTGTGTGTGTGTGTGTTGTGTGTGTGTGTGTGTGTGTGTTGTGTGTGTGGGTGTGTGTGTGTGTGTGTGTGTGTGTGTGTGTGTGTGTAAGTGTGTGTAAGTGTGTGTAAGTGTGTGTAAGTGTGTGGTAAGTGTGTGTAAGTGTGTGTAAGTGTGTGTGTAAGTGTGTGTAAGTGTGTGTAGATGTAATAAATATAGAAACCAGTCCTACTCCGCGCAGCTCTATAAAGCTAGGCATGCTACGTATGCATATACATAGAACTCGCCTCATTTTCTACAGATCATGCTAAAGCCAATAATTTGGGTCTAAGTGTTTCGAAACATCAGGCAAAATCAATTACAGTTGGCTGCTAACAGCCATCAAATCCGAGCACGGACTTGATTCCTAGTTTATTTACGGCTAGCCGTCTGGGCGATGCAATCAGCTGAGGGCTTATGACTAATGCAGAATTATTCCTTCGTCATGAATTAGTATAAAATATTTATTCAGTACATAGCATTCAAAGATATAGCATTCAAAATATGCTAAAAAAGTGATGCACTAGTATTATAACTTCTACACACTCAAAAGCCAAGGGAAATGACACGTACGACGTCGGCGGCATGTACAATTCAGTTCGACAATTACCAAAAAAAAACCCAAGACTGACGTGGTGGGTTATAAACGATTGGTAGTGCCCCTACAGGTTGGCATATAAAGCCGAGCCATAACGCAGTACCCACTGAGTAAAGGGAATTATCCAAGACCATGAATTAATACCCTTGTTCGATCAAGAGAGCATGGGCAGGTTAACAGAAAGAGCCTCGATAGAAATGAAGAGTCCTCCTCAAATGAGATGAAAGGGGAAAAGCCCTTAACCAAATTAGAGAGCCACTGAGCATCGGGTGCCTCGGTGCATCGGGTGCCGTTATAAGAGCCCCAGCAACAGCACAAGGCTCTCCAAACAAGTGGAAAGAACCTGAGACTAATATGAAGAGCCCCTGAGCAGCTGAGCGCACCCTGGCACCTGGGGCCCCCGAAAAACCTGCATCGGTCAAGAGGGCTCAGGCGTGAAAACCTGCATCGGTCAAGAGGGCTCAGGCGTGAAAACCTGCATCGGTCAAGAGGGCTCAGGCGTGAAAACCTGCATCGGTCAAGAGGGCTCAGGCGTGAAAGCAGACAGCGTCCCAACAGCAGCATTAGGCCCTACAAGAAAATACCAAGAGATCAAGGGCAACTTGGAAAGCTTCTTAGCGATCAGATTGACCCAGCAAGTGGACATATAGAGCCAGCGCAATTGACGGCATAATGCCTCTAGACGGCGTGATGAGCCCCAAAATTTCCCCAAGCAACGGCTTCTCAGCCAGGGAAGAATTAGCTTCGTCTGGTTATGAACACTTTGCACTTGCCAGCAATTGTTCTTTGTCGTCTGTAGGCCCAAAAGCGTCCAATTTTGTCGTGTTTTTGTTGTTAGGAAAGTGGTTCCGTGCCTCCCCGCCGCCTTCTGCATCCGCCGCCGGCCCGAGCAGCATAATAGATAGAGCCCGTCAAGAACATAGGGCCATCCATTCAAATGCAAAATGCTCACGACACAAGATGTAGGGCTCCGAACGATCTAGTGTGTCCGAGCAGGTTGACATAAAGGGCCCCCGTCAAGAGCGTAGGGCCCTCCATTCAAATAGGAAGTGCCCAAGATCCAATGTGGAGGGCCCCCCGAATGGTCGAGCGTACCAAAACAGGTTAACAGATGGGGCTCCCATCAAGAAACGTAGGGCCCTCCATTCAAAAGAGAAAGCGCTCAACACCCTAAATAAATGGCCCCGAGCGATGGACTGTGCTCAAGCAGCTTAACAGAAGGGGCTCGGCAAGGGCGTAAAGCACTCCATTCAAATAAGAAGTACCCAGAACCAAGAACGAAGGGCCTCCGAAAGATGGAGTGTACCCGAGCAGATTATCAGATGACCCCTACAGGGGGAGGGCCCTGAATTCAAACACTAAGACCCAATGTGCAGGGGCCCCAAACAATCCAGCCTGGCCGAGGAGGCGAACAGATGGATTACCGACAAGTGCGTGGGGCCCTCCACTTAGGCAGGAAGTACCCAGGACGCAATGTGGAGGGACCCTGAATAATCGGGTGTGCCCAGGAAGGTTAGCAGGTGGGGCCCCCGACAAGAGCGTAGGGCCTTCCGTTCAAATATGAAATACTCACGACATGGTGTAGAGGGCCCCGAATGATCGAGTGCGCCAGAGCAGGTTAACAGATAGAGCCCCGGAAAGAACGGAAGGCCCTCCTTCAAACGGGAAGTA